AGTAATTAGGGCACTTATAAAATCTATATTTCCTTTATTTAATAGAGCCCTTGTGGTTGTCCCACCCAAATGTGCACGCACACGTTCTAATTACTTACCAAGGTCAAGCTCGTGGTTCATTATATGACTTTTTTTACCACTAGTCAACAAATTTGTGCAACATTTTATGGGTATTGATCGAGTATTTATACCAAATCGTTAATAGAAGTTTTGTATTCGTATGGTTAGATATGTTCAATTCTTTGGTATACTTCAATATCCTTGATCAATTAATGATGATAGAAAGGTGATTTAATGGTATCTAGTGGCATCATATCTACTAGAAAAATGAGATAAATAGGTGATAATTTTTAGAGTTTGCAAACTATTTCGAACTTAAAAGAGGTGTTTAAAAATTTGCTTGTATAACTCAAATTAAGTTGGTGTTTATAGTCCATCCACAAGTTGATGAGAGATAATGTTCTGTTAAATTTCTCTTCTATTGTTGGGATGTGTTGAAAAAGTGTTGGTGTAGAAGAAGGTTTGAAATTAAGCAATTAGGTGCTAAAGCATTTTTCATCAATGAGGTGAAGTGTAAACCTCAAGGTGTTTCAAGGCTTCAGCTTGAGTGAGGCATACATCTCACCTTGAGAGAATTAGGTGTAAGCTTATTGCATTTCTTTTATAAAATGCACTAAAGGCCTCAAGGCACGCATCTTATTACGTATTTTAAATAAGGGTGACGCGGGAGCTTGGCTTACACTACTATAGTTGCTACACTACTATGAACCTTTTTTTTATTCTATTCCTCATCTTTTCTATTTTCTTTTCTAATTTCGTCATCTTCTAACCACTAGTTCATATTTTAATATGGTGTTTGTTGTCTTAGAGTTAGTATTTGGTGAGTTTTATTTCATATTTCTGTAGGACAGCCGACGACATCATTTTTTCTCTTCAAGGACTCTATCTGAGGGATTGGATGGTGCTCCGACTATCAAAGACTCTATCTGAGGGATTGGTTGGTACTCCGGCTGTATCTTTCTTCCGAGGTGGTGATTATTTCCTCCTATCTCCTTCCACATCCCACCCTGTCGCTCCTGGTTGTTGTATATCGCTGCAGTCGGCCACAACAACCTTCTATTAGTTGTTTTTTGCCGCCCCACCTTCCCGGACGCCTCTCACTTGCTTGCAGTTTTGCTGCCGCCAATCCGGAACTCCTCTTTGTTCTCCTAACCTTTGCATTGCATGGCTGCGGGCCAGGACAACCAGGGAACACCTCCTTCCTGTTGTCCCATCTCTATCCACCTCCGCTCTTCGATGCCATCACCCCGAACAACCTTTATACTTGTTGTCCCTACATTTCTGCACTTTCCCCTCACTGCCAACAACATTCCTTTGCTGCCACCACTCTCGTCAACCATTCCGATCCACTTAGCCGACCTCCACCACCCTGGGATACGCTTTATAGGTGTTTGCTTGTGTCGTTTTATGTTTGTTATCACTTATTTGATGTTTGAAGAGTCATTGTTGTAACCCAATTTGATTTCAATAATAATATTTCTGTTGCTATGGTGCTTTGAGTTTAACTCCAGTATCATTTCGTATCAGAGCATGCCTAATCCTTGTCCTATCCTTGGGTTTCTTTGCATTCGCCTCTATCCAAGTCACCTCCACCAAAATTTTTCTTTCCTATTCCCAAACACTTGCCATATTTTGACTAACCATAATTGTTCTTCGCCTATTTTCAAAATCAGCAACCCCAAATTAGTTTTCTTACACCTTCAATGCGTCTCCTGCACCCTCTTTCACCACGCAACCCTAAACCCTGACCATGTCACCAAAGAGATACATGCCTAAGCCCACCCAAGAGGAGAAGCAAAGAGAGATCCGCCTACTTCAGCAGAGGCTTGCAGGTATTGAGGGTGAAACCTGGGGGGAGATTATCCTTGGTCGGGATCTGGAGAATCGAAGGGGAGCAAGAGATGAGGATCTGAATATCTTCCATAGGGAGGACTTTAGTGATGCAGAAGACCAGCCAAAACGCTTTGGAATCTAGTATCAAAGGAGGTCGAGAGATGAGCCAACATGTGGAGAACGGGAGAATCTGGCAGTGAAGCAGATGATCTAGTGTCGGTTCCTACCAACTTACTATAGGTAGAAGGTTCAAACTCTAGCTTCATAAATTGAGAGATCGCATTATCGGGTGACTACCACATCTGACAGACAATGTTCAACCTTAGGGTCTTAAAGTCATATTACACCCCGGAGAACATCAAAGCTGACTCTCTCAGAGGGAAAGTTGAGTCAGAGTGGAGAACAGGTGGAACCAATCTACATCTCTAAATATCTTCCAACAAAGAATGTTGCAAGTGCGACGAATTTGGGCATGCTGGATTAGACCGTACAAGCAGGGGGTGATATGTTTGACCAGACAAAGCTTTCTTTAAAAATTGTGTAATGAAACAATAAACATTGTAGGGAGTGAGGACACAAAGGAGGATGACTAGCTTTCGATTGAAGTGATAAATGATGATTCAGTAGAAAATGCAGATCTTAGAGAGGATTTTCAATTTCAGCTAATAGGAAGAGACACTTAATTTCAGTTGACCTCAAGATAGAGATTCCATTTGAGGTAACAGTAGCTTTTTTATAAGGTAGTGACTTTGATGTAATGGACATTCTGGCAGAGTACGAGATTATGGTGCCTCGAGAGCATTTTGCAGGCATTGAGAGGAGCATTGGTAGGGCTTGCCATGGATGTCCAAAGGGGCCATGAGTTTGGGGATTCAATATCAGACACAGGATAACCTAAAATAAGAGAAATGCAGACGTTTCAGATCCATAAACTTGTCCCTGAGTTTCCCCTACTGAGGGAGGTCTCGCACGTTAGAGATAAGACACTTTTTGTGTCACGTCGGGAAAATTATATGGAGTTATTCAGATGTTAAATTCAGTTCAGCATGGTACCCTTGTCCAAACAGGGGGATGAACCCTATCTTGAAATTTTATTTTAGAAGCTTGATAGGGAAGGAAATTCTCCAATGAGATTCAAGTTCTAGCAGCGAAGAAGAAGACTCTTCTGAGTGGTTGCTAGTGAGGGTGGTGTAGCATATCATAGATTTCATTGCAGAGTTTACTTCTCCTCATATATTGATTTATCAACTACATTCCACAGAGTACGAAAAGAGGAAGCAAAAGGTTTCCAACTTAAGGGCTCAAGTTTTACTTTACAGGAACCTACATATATATGCAGCTCTAGATTATGATGTGCCAAGAGAGGATGCATATTTATTCTATCAAGACATGTTGTAGAATGACAACTACTACATGACCGACCTTCTAGTGGATTGCAATATCTTCGTCACCATCAATGTGCAATATCTCCGCTACCATCAACATGACAGACTTGACTTCGTGCTACAAGGAACAAGAAGCTTTGACGAATGAAATCAAAGCTCCCCAAATCTTGGGAGATTGATACAAGATTTTGGGTCACCACAGTCCCTTTTTCATTTTTTGATCCCTTTCCTTTTCTATTTCCTATCTATTCTAACTACTAGTACTTATAATAAATATATTATTTGTTGTCTTAGGTTAAATATTTGACGACTTTTATTTTTCAGATTTTTGTTAGGTTAGTCGCTGACATTCGTTTTCCCTTTCGAGGGATTGGGTGGTGCTCTGGCTGTATGTCTGCCCCTAGGTGGTGATTATCTTCCTCCTATCTACTTCCAGATCCTCCTCCACCGCTCTCGATCACTCTATGTCTCTGCAACCGGCCACAACAACCTTTCGTTAATAGTTTTCTGCCGCCAAACCACACCTCCTACCTCCTTTCCCAACCTTCACACTACGTCGATGCCTCCTAGGAAAACCAAAGAACACCTCCCTCCTATTGTCTCGTCATTATCCACCCCCCATTCCTCGCTGAGCCTCCATACTTGTTGTCCCTACATTTTTTAAAGGTTGTCCACAGAGCAAAAATAATTAAAAAGTGAGGTTCATTGCTGCGTTAAGGTTGGTGATGAAGGATAATATCACGGTAATGAAATCTCTATATAGAAAGTTGCTTAGTGTCCCATGTTAGATTGTACTGAGTTTGTCCAACAATCTAATGATTTGGATGTAAACTTCTTATGTACCTTTTTAGGTAGAAAAAGAAAATGAAAATGGCATCTATGCAGAATTTGATTAATTTCATTTGATAATACAGTTGGGGCTTCAAATTTAATCTCTAATGTACCATCCATTAAAATCCTTACTTTTTTTTGGAGGAATTAACACACATATTCTTATGCATTTAGGTATCTCACACCTAAACCTTCATTTTTACAGGCAAAGCATCCAATTCTTTCCAATCACTTCATAAACAGCATTAATTACACTTCTTCATAGTAAAATCCACCTTTTCATACATAGGTAGGGTGCTTTCCCTGTAAATATGAAGTTTTAGGTATGTAAATGCATAAGACTTGGGTGCTATGTATGTAAATTTTCATTTTTTTAAAGGTTACATACGTACCACTTAATTTCTATATATTTACATATCTAACAACTTCAATTTTTACATATATGCCACCTAACATGTACATCAAAAGGTTTATTTCACTTTTTTAAAGGTTACATACGTACCGCTGAAGGGCCCGACTCAAGACCAACCCCGGGTCTTGAATCAAGTACACTAAAGAAGCCAAATGATTTATACGATGGGTGGTGGCTCTTTTCAATTGTTTTAAAGCGCTTAATTATTTTGATCTGGTCATAGAAGTCTTTCTAGGGGTCTTTTCGGTTAGTTCGTGAATGACTGAAATGCTTGCTTGTTTGTTTGGTTAGGTGGTTAAGTGAAGACTGTGAGCGGCATGCCGCTTAATTTCTTTTTCTTGAAGGACTTGAATTTTGCATTTTGCTTCAAAGTTCTTGAACCCTTGATAGGTAATTTTCGTCCTAACAGACATATTTATTGGTTACAGGTACAGATCATCCTCCCATTAAGATATTAAGTCTTTATCATTGTGTTACAGGTACAGATCATCCTATTCCTCATTTATATGATGTTAATACCTTTCAATGTTATTTACCTTCCAATTTTCAAAACTTGAATACGAATTCAGCCATCAATCAGGTCTAAATTTTTTTCTCTCTCATTTATAGGATCTAAACTAAACTCCAAAAGTAGCAGATTGTTATTATTAAAGAAATTTACATAAATATCACATAATTCTTATGTATTTACATATCTACCACCCAAAGTTTAATATTTACATTTACAACTTAGTATGATAAATCTATGCATGAAAGGGTGCATTTCACTGTTAAGAATATAGTGATGGTGGTTTTTTTTAATGTGATGCTAAGAATTTGAGTGGTATGCATGTTAATATGAATATTTAGGTGTTAGATCTGTAAATGCATAAGAATGTGATGTTAGATCTGTTATTATTATTATTATTATTGTTCATACGACATAATTTCTATGTATTTGCATATCACATCTTGTATTTATACCACACAAATCTTTAATATCATATAAAAATACCGCCATTTTAACTTTTAAAAGTAAAAAATACATTTTTATGCATAGGTATGGTGGCATGTATGTATAAACTGAAGTTTTAAATAAGTAAATACATTGGAATTGAGTGGCATGTATGTAACTCTTCTTTCTTCTTCTTCTTCTTCAGCAGCATTTTCTTCTTATTATAATTATTGATAGGCTATGTGATTATTTCTTAATGTCTACTAGGTTAGATACTCTTTATCTGGTAGCTTATATGTGACAGCCTCAAAAGATGGCTCTGTTCTTTTGTGGGATGGGGCGACAGCACAATGTGTACGACAGATTGTTGGGGCTCATGGATTGACAGAGGCTACGTGTGCAAGTTTTACAAAAGATCAGAGGTAGTAAAACTTCATTCAATGTGATTTTGATCTTCTTTTTGGGAGATTTACACATATACCCTAGAAAGTTTTTTTTATTTACAAAATTAACACCATATTTTTCTACTGGACTCTTCTATTTGTGTGTGCTAGATAATTAAATCATTGTGAATTTAATGAAAGCAAAAAATATGAGTTGTGATTTTGTTGTGCTCTTCAATATTTCTGCGATAAGTATTTGTTTTGTAAATAGATAAGATTTGAGTGCTATGTATGTAGTTATTTCTTTTAATATAACCTTATTTTTTTGCCATTTTACAATCTAAACTCATTGTTTATCGCATCTTTTGGCCCAAATTTTCATTGATTAAATTTGATTATTTTACTTTTTTTACGCTTACTGACAAGGCTTTGATGGATAAAGCCTGTCATGTCATCTGTAACATCTTCTGTTGATAGTTTAATGGTAATATTCCTCAAATAAATTGACTTGTGAACTTTTGTTTGATAAAAAGGGAAAGGTTAATTTACGTACTTAGCACACAATTCTTATGTATTTACATATATCACACCTAAACTTCCATATTTATATGCATATTAGTTTGGCGTTTTAAACCTATGCATGAAACTGTGTATTTGACTTTTGAAAAGTGATAATAGTGCTATATTTGATGTGATATTAAAAATTTGAGTGTTATGTGTGTAAATATTAAATTTTAGGTGTAAGATATGTAAATACATAAGAATTGTGTGCTATGTATGTAAAAACTCCAAAGGGAAAATATAAAAAAAATGTAGAAAGAATGAAAATGGATTCATTTACTCAAAGGGAAACTATAAAAAATGTAGAAGGAATGAAATTGGAATCCTCTCCTTGTACTTTTACTTTCAGTGCTCATAATATTGGTTGATTGAACGAACAATTTTTTAGTTCTCGTGGCTGTCCTTTGGTGCTTGTATTTTTTTTCACAAAATTGGTAGAATATAACAGAACACGTTTCTTGAGGAAATTTACATACATACACACAATTCGTATGTATTTACATATCTAACACCTAAAATTTTATATTTACATTGATTACGCTTTGTTGTCATAAATTTGTGCATGAAATTGTGTATTTCAATTTAAAAAGCTAGTAAAGGTGGATCTTGGAATATAGGTGCTCTCACAGGTAAATTAATGAAATTAGTTGATATTATGATTCATATAAAAATAAATATCTTATGTATTCATGAAACTAAATGAGTTGGAGAAAAAACTAAGGAGATTGATAACTTAAGTTTTAAACTTTGGTATTCAACTAAGAGTTGTACTAGAAATTGTGTAAGTGTAATTATAAACAAGAGTTTGATAGATACCGTTGTGAAAACTAATAGAATTGGAGATAGAATTATAGTCTTTCAGATTATTGTTGATACTAAGATTTTTAATATTATAAGTGCTTATGCTCCTCAAGTATGTTTAGATATAAGCTCTAAAGAAAAATTTTGGAATGACCTTGAAGTTTTAATATAACTGATACATCTTGAAGAAAGAATTTTTATTGGAGGAGATTTAAATGGATATTTTGGTAGAGTGGTAGAAGATTTTAGAAATATTTATGGTAGCTACGGTTTTGGAGTGATAAATGAAGGTGGAAGCATTTTAGATTTTGCTTTAGCATATAATTTTATTATTGCTAATACTTTATTCAAGAAAAGAGATGAACATATTATTACTTATAAGAATGAATTTAATAAAACATAAATTGATTATTTTCTTATGAGGAAAAGAGATTGTCGAGAATGTAAAGATTATAAGGTCATTTTAAGTGAGGATTTAATTACTCAATATCAAATATTAGTTCAAGATTTTAAGATGAATAACTGTAAAATAAAGAATACTATGAATTATTGTCGTAGAAATCTCTGTGGGACACCTAAAAGACATAAAATTATATTTATGAGTAAACTTCAAGATTTCAAAATTTGAAATATTCATGAAGAAGTAAATGTTATGTAAACAATTTTATGTGAAATAAAGTAACAAACACTATTAAACAAGTGACAAAAGATATACTTCGAAAATCAAAAGAAAAAGTTTATATAAATAAAAATAATTGGTGGTGAAATAATAATGTGCAAGATAAGATAAAATATAAGAAGTTATATTATATAAATTGGTTTAAATTTAAAAGTCTAATGAACTGAGTAAAATATAAAATGACCCATAGAGAGTCTAAGAGAACAATTTATGATGCTAAAAATTTTATTTTTAGTTATCTTTATAGTATATTAGATACTAAAAATGGTGAAAATAGATGTATAAACTAGCCAAACAAAAGGAGAAGAGAAGTAAATATTTAATTCAAGTGTATGAAAGATGAAAATCAAAAAGGTTTTTTCTTGGTGAAGGATGTTCAATATAGGTAGGTGAGTTATTTTGATTAACTTTTGAATGAAGTTTTTGAAAATACAATCCAACTTAGTGATCTTAATATTATTAATAATAATAAAATATTTCATTTTTATCATCGCATTAGGAAAAAGAAGTTGATGAGGCTTTGAAGAAAATCAAGGGTGGATATTTTGTAGAACTTGGTGATATTTTAATTGAAGTGTGGAAATATATAGGAGATTTGAGAGTTTTTTGGCTTACTAAACTCTATAATATTATTTTAAAAATTAAAAAGATGTCTGAGGAGTGGAGGAAGAGTATTTTGGTCTCCATTTTTAAGAATAGAAGAGATGCACAAGAGTGCAAATTATAGAAGAATTAAGTTGATGTGTCATACTTTAAAATTATGGAGAGGATAATTGAACATAGGTTAAGATGTATTACAAAGATTTCTTATAATCAATTTGGATTTATGTCGGACAGATCTACCATGGAAGCTATGCATTTATTTGATGGAGAAGTTCGGAGAGAGTATCTACATTTGATTTTTATTGATTTAGAAAAACTTATGTGAGGTTCTAAGAGATTTCTTTTGGAGAGTTCTAGAGAAGAAATGTGTTGATATGACTTATATTTAAGTCGTTAAAGATATGTATACTAGAGTTGTTACATGTGTTTGAACAGGAGGATTGACCAAATTTTTTTCTATTTTAGTTGGATTATATTAGGGATCGGATTTAAGCCCATGTTCTTTTGCTTTAGTTATGGATGCTCTTACTGGACATTTACAGGAGGATGTACCTTGGTGTATGCTTTTCGCTGATGATATCGTTCTCGTGGATAAGACCAGAGAAAAAACTCAGAAAAAACTTGAATTATCGAGGTCTGCATTGGAGTCTAAAGGCCTTCTTTTGAGTAGAAGTAAAACTGAATGCATGGAATGTAATTTTAGTAGTAGCTCTAGTGACTGTTGTAATTATAGGTGATTAAATTATTAAAAGGTGTGAACGCTTTAGGTATTGCTCCAGTGGTGGACAAACTTAGGGTTTGTTTGGGGCAGCTGCAGCTTATTGAATAATCTGCTGATAAGTTGATTGCAAATAATCTGCTGATAAGATGGGTGCGGTGGCTATTACAAATTTTTATTTTTTTGGAAAAGTCAGACCGCTGTCAGAAAGTTGTCACCGCACCTAGATATGTGCGGTGTGAAAACGTTGTTTTTCGGTATTTTGAAAACGCATAAGCTGCCTAAACACAGTTTACCCAAACAGTCCAGGTGCGTTTTCAAAATGCCACCGCGCCAAATAAGCTGAGCTCCAGTGGTGGACAAACTTTAGAGAGAGTCATCTTAGTTGGTTTGGTCACATTAAACGTCACCCATCTGATGATCCGATTAGGAGAGTAGGTGTTTTAGATTCGACTTTTGTTAAGAAAAACAAAGGTAGACCTACAAAGACTTGGGCATATTGTATAAAAAATGGTCTTAATTTATCAGAATTAAATGAAAAAATGACACTCGATAGGATGTAATGGAAAAAAAGGATTCATGTAGCCGACCTCACTTAGTGGGATAAAGGTTTGTTGTTGTTGTTGTTCTTGTAAAGGTGGTATTTTTTTATGCGATATTAATGATTTAAGCACTCCTATGCATGTAAATAGGAAAGTTTTAAGTGCTTGATATGTAAATACATAAGAATTGTTTGTTATGTATGTAAATACCCCCTTTTCTTATTATTAATGTCTTTTTGCTGATTTCGCTAGTTTTGTTTTTCAATAAACTCTGTTGTGGAATCACTAGATATGTGCTCTCTTGTGGGAAGGATTCTACAATAAAACTATGGGAAGTAGGAACTGGAAGGCTTGTAAAGCAGTATTTGGGAGCAGTTCACACTCAATTACGCTGTCAGGTTTGCTAAGTTTCAGTTCATTGATTCTTTTCTTTCTACTGAATCTAGAAAGATGGCATGTTCTAGTATTATTTGATAGAGAATTTTACATACTGGCTACCGCACCATTCTTATGATTTAAATATGCAACACTTAATGTTTGATATTTACATTTATAACAATTTGATGTTATAAATCTATGCATGAAAAGGTGTATTTCACTTCTACAAAGTTAGTAATTATGGTATTTTTGATGTAATGTTAAAGATTTGAGCGGTGCACATGTGAATAGGAAACTTTAGCTGTTAGATATTTAAATATATGAGAATTGTGTGGTATTTATGTAAATGTCCCTATTTGATATAAGAAGTTGCTATCTATGCATTAAAAGGTGTATTTATGCTAACATTTACTAATTCATGTGCTCGACAAGTCGACATGCAACAACAGCTTCAGCACGCATCATTTTTTTGGGGCGTTTACATATATACCACCCAATTCTTATGTATTTACACATCTAACACCTAACTTTACTTTTGACATTTATGCCACCCAATTCTTTCACATCACTTGAACAAGAACCCACCAATTTAATTTTAAAATATGAAATACATCTTTTTTATGCACAGGCAAAATGGCATATGTGTAAAAATTTAAGTCTACGTGTTTGATACGTAAATACATAGTAGTTAAGTGGTATGCATGTAATTCTTCCCTTTCTTTTTTTATATTTGTAGGCTGTCTTCAATGAAACTGAGGAATTTATTCTATCCATTGATGAACTAAATAATGAGGTATGCCATCATTCCAGCTGGGACTTAATCTGATATCTACTTATTTACTCTTCAATATCATTCTGGTTCTGATGGATTCATCCCGGTCGTTCAAAATGGATTGAATGGTCATGATTGAAACATTTATCTGTGATCCTGGTCTAAAAAAAACTTACAAAAAGTTGCAGGTGGTGATATGGGATGCATTGACTGCTGAGAAGGTGGCAAGATGGCATTCCAATCATGTAGGTGTGCCTAGATGGATAGAGCACTCTCCAACTGAGCCAGCTTTTGTTACCTGTGGGATTGATAGGTCTGTCAGATATTGGAAGGAGATATCGTGATAATCTCAAGGTTATTCGTATTTCACTCGATCACCACTTTTCTCCTTGGGGTTTTCTAATTCTCCTAAAAGTTCTCCCTAGTACTGAGTCGTACGGTTCAAGTTCTGCAGCTCCCGAACTACACATTCAAATCTAAAGACTTAACTAATAGGACAGATATCCAGTACTTGAAGCACTCAAAAATATTTTTAATATTGTAGATTTTCTTTTAAATAGACACACTATAAGTATTCATGTTTGTTTTGAGGGCTGTTTTATTATTAAATTATATGCAGAAGGGATTTTTAGTTCTAGCTTCTTGATAGAACATGGGATGTTGTATTTGCAGAGGACATTCATATCTTTCTTATTTAGTGAATTGGCACTCTTTTTTGGAAGATTTGCGTATATGCCACTTAATTTCTATGTATTTTCTGGAGTAACTTGCTGAATGGCCCCTTAATTATAACCCAAAGTCTACAGAGACATCCAACTTAGTCCCCCACTCTTTTAATATTGAGCTACTTTGAGACACTACTATAAACTTAATGAAAGTGAGCTTTGAAACCATCCTGTGAGAGGGGCATGAATGGTTCAATATTGCATTGGGTTCACGCAAGCGTACATGTCGTGTAAGTAACGTAATGAAAGCGAGCTTTGAAACCATCCCGTGAGAAAATGAGGAGTTAGAAAGTTAAAAGTCTAAAGACACTAATTTCACAAAATTTAGTTCTATACAATGGGATGGAAGTTTGTTTAAAATGTTATTTTTGGCTTTTACTTTTCAAGGAATTTCAAATGCAAGATAAGCTACTTATGTGCTCTTTGTTCATGAAATCAATGCCATGAACTTGGTTTAAATGATGCTAGTTTATATCCTCTATTGATGACAACAAATGCACCTATTTTTCAAAATATTGTGATTTTCTATGCTCATGAGTGATTCAAAAATGGAATATACATTTTTCTATTGAATATGCCTTTTTAAAAATTTATGTTGTGAATTTATTTGTGTGTGATTGAAGATCTTTGTTGATATTTAAAACTCGAGTTAAATTTTAAACATTAGCATGACTTGTAATTGTTAAATGAAATTTGAATTTTACAAATGACTTTGAAAATAGTAATAATCTTAACATTGGTTGTATTAAACTTATAGAGCCATTGGAATTAATGAGCCTATCATGGATATATAGTGAAAGCAAATAAATATGTTCATTGAACAAATATAAGTGTGATTATAAGTGTTGAAACAAAGATAGATATATTAGGAATGATAGAACTTGATAAAATAATGAATTCTCTAAAATTCTCTATTGAATTATAGCATTGGTACACTAATAGAAGCAAACTCACTCTCAAACTCTCTTATAGAAACTATCATGTCCAAAGAAGCTTCTAACTCTTTTAACAACATTGGGTGGAGGTAAGTTTTCATCACTTAAAATTTGGCTTTATCTTCTTTTGTCTCCCTATTGGGAATTTAATCCTAGAATAATGCATTCAGTCATTATAAATTGACACTTTTCTTAGTTTAAAACTAAATTAGTTTCTTCACACCACATAAAAAATAAAGCCAATTGATGGAAGAAAATATTAAAAGATACATTAAAAATTGAAAGGTAGTCTAAAAAGATTCAATCATACTCAATCAAATAAAAAAAGATAGACATCATAAAACTTTGAAGTGGCAGGAGCATTGTAGAGACCAAAGTACATTCTTATAAAGGCAAATGTGCCATAAGAACTGACAAATATAATCTTCTTTTGATTCTCGAGAGAAATGAGAATTTGATGATATCTTAAATAGTTTTATTGAAAATAGTAAAACAAGTTCCCTCCAAGCCTATCTAACATCTGATCTAGAAAGAGTAAAATATTTTTTTTTTCTTGTGATATTATTTAGTTTCCAATAATCAATGTCACCCAATTACTACCCTCGTGAGTATTAACTCATTCTTGTATTCTTTGTAACAGTTTAACCTCTCTTCTTATGCATATAATCTGTAGGACTAACTCATGTACTGTTAGAAATAGGATATATGATACATGCATCAAGTCATTTCAAAATTTCCTTTTTAACCACCTCATTTATAATAGGGTTTAACTGTTTTTAGTACATAATTTTCTTCCATGAATATCCTATACATACATAAGAAATGGCTAATTCTATGGAGGTCTGCAAAGGTCCGACCAATACAATCTTATAACTCCTTAAATACTTTCATTAACTACTCTTCTTGAAGCTCATCTAACTCGGCAAACATAATTATTGAAAGAATTGAGCTGTGTCCTAAGAAGGCATAACAAGTTGCCAAAACTTTCAAATTTATCTTAGGCGCCTCCTCAATTGCTCACTTCAGTTGTTCTTTTATGGATAAGGTATCTAAAGGCTCTGAATTCTCCCTAAAGATTCTAGAGGTAGTTTGAAGGTATATAACATATTCATTTTCATCTTCAATTGAATCTTTTAAAGTCAATGATTGCACTATCAGTTTGGTTCTCCACTAACTCATCCACCGTCTCTATCCTATGGCATTCATTGATCGTTAGGTTCATCGAAAAATTGCATTGATTTCAAAACACTAAAGGTGACTTCTTGATTTTGTATTGACATGGTTAATTTATCTTTTTGAACATCTATCATGAATCTTCTATTTGTTAATAATGGTCCCCTTAGGATAATAGACGATGTTTTATCCTCTTCAATTTCTAAGACAATGGAATCACTAAAGAAAATGAACATATTTATCTTAACCCGACCATCGTCTATTTTCCTCCTAGAGTAAGTAAGAGATCTATCAATAAGTTGTAAGCTGATAGGTCTAGGTAGCACTTTTTCTAGACCCAAATTTATAAAGGTGGATAGAGGCATGGAATTTATACTGGCTCTAAGGTCACATAAAACTTTTCCAAAAAAGTCATCCCCTTTGTTTTAAGGAATGTTAAAACAACTAGGGTGTTTAAGCTTCGAGGATAATTTTCTCTGAATGTTGGCATTATATTCCTCTATGAGAGCAATAGTTTCAAATTTTCACAGCTTAACATAGTTAGACATTTGTTCAAGAGATTCTACAAATAAAATATTAATCATGGCACCTTCACAATATAGAAAATTATCTATCCAAATTATGTTTCTAAAGTCTTTGAGAAAATGTTGGTAACGATACATGATTCAACAAACTAATCCAAAAGGCGTTCTGATTCGCTAGAGATTTTTAAATTTTTAGACTTAGGCTCCTCTAATTTTAATGTTTGCACTATTCTCCTAAGTGGCATTCCTAAACTTAGGTAATTCTTCTAACTCCTTGCCTTTGTGTCACATTCTTACATTGCTCCCTTCCTTTATTCTTAGGATTCAACATAGTGTTGCTTGGTAACATCCCTTGCGATATGTTGTTCTAATTGTGCTTCAATATTTCCGATGGTCACAACTTGACTCTGTAGCTGATTTCTCATTTACAACATCAAATCTTCCAAAACTAGTATCTTTTGCTAAAATTTATTTCCCATATAAAACTTGCTTCTGTAACGGATCAAATCATGAACCAGACATCAGCTGGCATTAAAAACCCTCCCGCACAGAATCACCCAAAGCCGGATTGAATTGGCGTTTCAACCCCTGAATCGGCTAAATGACTTCTATTCTAAGGAACTGTTTGATTCACGGGCATTTCCATACATACCGCCTAACTTTACGTATTTTCGCATATCTAACACCTAAACTTTATTTTTTACATTTAAATCGCTCGTATCACATTAAAAAAAAATTCATTATTATAAAAAAAAATGCAATTTATATACATGCCACTCAACTTTTTTTTATTTACATTTATACCACAAAAATCATTTATGTCACATAGAATATGCCAACATTTTGCTGTCTTAATCCAAATGAAGTCAGACAAAAGTATAGAATATATATATATATATATATATATATATAAACATAAATAATCTAAAGAAGAGAGAGTGTTCCACTGCCTCACGTAAATCGATTAGTATTTCTGTAAGTTTTGTTCGAAGCAAAATCTAGGAGAAACGATGGGGAAGCTGAGGATCAAGAGCGCTCCGAGCTACACGACTGAATGGCGAGGTAATTATTTGTTTAGGGTTTAGGGTTTAGGGGTTAGGGTTTATGGTGGGATTTCTTGAGAAAGAATTGTAATGGCTTTCATATCGGTTAGATTTGATAAGAGTGCTTTCGTCGTGTTGCTGTTACGGTCTGGTTTGATTTGACCTGCGCGTTCGATTTTGTTTTTTTTTTTCTTGAGTTATTGAGATGTTCTGTGGGACTTTTTTTTTTTTTTTGGTTTCTGTTTAGCTGCGTAAGTTGATAGTTCTTTTGCGGTAGTTTTATTCAAATTTCAGTGAATTGTTTGACGGTTAGATAGCTGAGGATCAAGAATTCTAGCAAGGTTTGTGGTTTCTGGATTTATTTTTATTTTTATTTTTATTTTTAATTTGATCTGTATCTGTTTGAACTGGTATATTTATTGGTAAGGCCCTCTCAAAGTTTTTTTTTTGAAATTATTTATTTATTGTTGTACTGTCTTGTTTGACTGAAACAGTGTGCTCTGCTTTGTTTGTATGGTAAATTACTGCGGATTTTTTAATTTTTATGTTTTGGAAGTTGGCAGTGCTTGATTTTCCCTGAAATTATGTTTCAGATTGAAGGATTGTATAAGTGTGTTGCGAATTATTACCAACGGTGATCTTTTGGTGACTTCTTACAGGTGTTTTCTTGCGGTGGTTGATTGATGGAAGATTTACGTACATATCACTCAATTCCTATGGATTTAGATATCTAACACCAAAACTTCAATTTTTACATACCTGCCACCTTACTATGCATGAAAGGGTTTATTTCACTTTTTGGAAGTAAAAAATGGTGGTATTTTTTATGTGATATGAAAAATTTGGGTGGTATAAATTTAAGAAGTAAAGTTTAGGTGTAAGATATGTAAATACATAAGAAATGGTTGGAATGTATGTAAATGCGTCTGATATGACTTTTGATTGTTTGTGATATTTTGATGTATTGCTTTATATTTGAATATTCACAACTTGAGGCATTCTTTATTTTCCTTCGTGATTAGAATTATTACTATTTGGTCTGGTAAGGCTATGCTATAATTTTATATTGCAAGAAAAGGATTCATATTTTAAAGTAATAATTAATGATATTTTTCGTATTAGGAATCGTCGAGCCATCCGTTATCTGACCTTGAGCATGGTGATGCAGTTCAGGTGACCATGTTATTTGTTTTCCTTGATCATCCTTTGTGTTTTTTGAATTCTATTTACCTTAAAACTTCGGTGGATTACGTAATTTGATCTCTGTTGCATATGTTGCTACAGCCTGCAAATGTTGGGTTCTGTAGAGTTCTAAGGCTGG